AGGAAGGTGTGTCCTGAGCCTGCTTTCCTGAGACGTTGGTGGGGGCAGACTGCAGATTCGTAGGGGTCAGAGGCCAGCACCTCCTGTCTCTGGTGGCGCCCCCATCCGAGAGGGAGCAGCAGTCGGCTGGGGAATGGGCTGTTTCCCGTCCATGTCGCCTGTGTGTCCTCATAGTCTTCCCCTCTTGGCCAGGATGCCCTAGAGCATCGGGGTCAGCTCACACCTGTACTGAGGGGGGGGGTGCCTGCACACCCCACTGGGTCCTTGCCCCGCCCTCACCCTGCTCCCACTACAGGTTGGCTCTCAGTGGCCCTCCCCGAACCACCCCTGCCTCGTCAACGAGTGTGTCCGCGTGAGGGAGGAGGTCTTCGTGCAGCAGAGGAACGTCTCCTGCCCCCAGCTGGACGTTGCCCCCTGTCCCGAGGGCTTCCAGCTGAGCTGTGAGACCTCGGGGTGCTGCCCCTCCTGCCGCTGTGGTGAGACGCCCCTGGGTCCACCCTCTCCTTCCTTCCAGCGCCCAGGCTCAGACAAAGGGGCAGGCCCAGGCCTCACGCCTGCAGCGAATGCCTTTGTGGAAGCGAGTCAGAGAGGCCCAGAACATTTCCTGCATCATCCCCGCGCTCAGTGACGGCTCCACACCGTGCTCATGTCAGACTAGCCCACTGTGCCTGCTTGTGTCAGGCTAGTCACCGTGCCTGGAGGGACAGTGACCCGCCAGCCTGCCACCCCAGCCCCGAAACAGCACACAGCCACACCACCCACAGCAGCTCTCCACCACCACCGCCTGCATTCGCTGCGTGTGGTTTCCAGAGTGGAATCTCCTCCCGAGGCCCAGAGGACCTGACTCACCCCTTGAGTCTGCGTCCCTTAAACAGGCGCAGGGGTTTCTCACAGAGGGCTGGGGGATGGGAGGTCGGTAGGCCAGGGACAGGGCAACGGAGCCCTCAGCGTGGGCCCCAGGTGGGGCGGGATGTGGAGGGAATCAACAGGGTGGGGGGGACCCTGCAGGGACCGCCCCTGTTCTGCACATTCACTGCTGCCCCCCTCTCTCCCCAGAGCCTGTGCAAGCCTGCCTGCTCAACGGCACCATCATTGAGGTGAGCTGCTGCCTTCTCTAGGATGGGGGTGGGGGTAGAGGTGGAGGTGCCATGGGAAGTGTGGGCAGCTATAAAGGGGGTGCTTCCACCAACGGATATCTCCCTCATCACACTTTTGGTTGGTGCCTGGATTCCTGGGCATCCAGGCTGGCATGGTCATCTCAACACTCTAGGGCCTGGGCCCTGCTGTCTGTCTCCACTGGGCAGTGGTCATTTCCTTTGCATGCAGACATGGGCACATCTCAGCCTGTCCCCCCTCTCCCACAGCCTGGCCCCCTCTCTGGCGTGAGCACCCTCACCTTGCCATCTAGAGGTGGGTGGGCCCTTAGGGATAGGAGAGGGCCGGGGTGATGGCTTCTGGCAACCGGCGGTGGCTGTCCTGCTTGTAAGGCAGATGGCTTGTGGGGCGGCAGGAAGGAGGGTCAGAGAGGGTATGGGGAGGCCTGACCCGGTCACTCTGGTTCCAGCCTGGGAGGAGCCTGATGCTTGACGTGTGCACGCATTGCCGCTGCTCTCTGGAGGTCGGGCCCATCTCTGGATTCAAGCTGGAGTGCAGAAAGACCTCCTGCAAGGCCTGCCCCCCGGTAAGTGACGACCCGGGGGGCGCCCGGGGTGGGCCTGGGCAGTGAGACCTCACTGGGTCTATAAGCAGAGTGCCTGTGGGCTTGATATGGAGCACAAAAATGCATCCCTGTTACTCCGGATGTCCACTGAACCACGCGGGTCTAAGTAGTGAGGAGCTGGAACAGGACCTGCACACCTGTCCACCTGCAGGAGGGAAGCTGTGGCCCGCTAGCTCCCTGACGCGCCCTCTGGTGGTCAGATGGTGGCACAGCCCCCTCCTCTGCATCTGAGCAATCCAGCTTTGGAATCTGGTCTAGATGTATGTTGGTTTCTAAATATTTTTAAAACCCATGGCCACTTTGGTGTGGGCCTTCTTCCTCTCTGACTCCGGGCCCGTGACCTCTCGCTGGGGCCGTGCAGCCGCCGCCTTTCTCGTGAGAACCCCTTCCTCCTAGGCCTCTCTCTGCCTCTGTTGAAACCTGCTTTGGTGGCCCCTGCTTGGCTCAGGCCCCTCCGCCATGTGGGGTGTCAGGGGTGGGGGTTGGTGGATGCAGCTAATTAGGCCTAGCTGGGCCCGCTGAGCCCCCTCTATCAGACTGAAGTGCCAGCGTCACTGGATTGACATCGTGTGTCCTTCTGGGCAGACAATACTTATATATAAAGGGCAGCGGAGGGTGTTTGTGCAGATGTTGGGAGAGACGCAGAAGAGCGCAGCCCAACAGGGGATCCTGAGAAGGCCCCTGGGGGGTGCGGCCGTCACCCGACCCTGCGCAGGGTGCTGACAGTGGAATGGAAGCCCTTCCAGGGGCAGCAGGAGATGAGACCAGGGCTGGAGACCTTGATCCAGTTAATGCAAAGGGGCCGAGTTCTAGAGACGTGACTGGACAGAGGGGTTGGGACACACCCGCTACTCAGGCCCAAGTGAGTGACCTTGGCCACTGCCTGGGAGTTCAGCCCGGCAGGCTGAGGACATGGCTGCTGCAGAGCACACACGCCAGCGAGTTCCCTTCAGCACTGCCTTCTCTTGGTATGGCAGCTTCTGGGACACAGCACTGTCAACAGAGGCTGGGGGAGGGGTCCAGCAGGCCTCGCACCCCACTGTCACCCCACTGTCACCTGCATAGTGAGAGGATGTGCTGCAGAAGGTCTTTATTCTGTTTATCCTCGAATGGGGTGCTGGCCGTTCTCTCTCCACCTGTCCCATTTCTCAACCCCCCACCTCCAAAATCACTGTCCCCCACCCCCTTCCTCATCTTCCCACTCTTTCTCCTCCATGACACCCTCCCTATTCCCCTGGCCCTGACCTCCTTTTCCCTTCTGCTTCTCTGGGGTGTGGATTTTGCCGCCACATCCCTTTCCTTTCCTTTGTACCCCACCCCTCCAGATCTCCCCCCACTCCTCATTTCTTTCATAAAAGATTGGGCCCATTCCCTCCTGGGAGCACAGCGTATTTCCTAGTCACTCCTAACACTCCCTAATGATTGTTCAAACCAGGTTCCCGTAGAAATCCTGACTGGTGTTAGTCTTGCTGTATTCCAGACTGCTGCTGCTGGCCACTCACAGCCCCTCATGTCGTTCACTCTCTCTTCCTCTCCTGGCACCTCTTGCCCACACTGTCCAGGGCCAGGGCTTGTGCAGCTTCAACACTCAACGGAGCAGCGTGACGGCCTCATGTGGTGTGCACATGCTGGGAGCCCAGCTTGAGCTCACTCCTCATTGCTTTCTCCCCTGCCTTCTCCCTGAGGACACAGCTATTTCAAAGCTTGATTTCCAAGGAGATGATAGTTTACATTCATTTCCGAGCAAGCTCCCTGCATACTAAGCTCACCTGCTGCTTAGGAGCGGGGTCCACACCGGAGGAACAAGGGAACCGCATGGATAGTGTGGGTCACCTGTGGCGGAGGGACAGGCCCATCTGCTGGAGAGTCATCTGAGAGGGACCCCGGGCTCCAGAGAAGGTGCACTCTCCTGTGGCCAAGTGAGAGAAAGAGTGTCTGCGTGGTTTGTTTCTCACATAACTGAGTTTTTTCTTTACAAGTTCCATTTTGGAGATAATCAGATAATTATCTGAAGTGGCCACCAGATAAATAATTGCCAAGGAAGCAGTGGATTGTACAGCTGGGAGCTCAGGAGGTCTTCTATAATGCACGTGGCTGCAGAACAGAGTGCCACTGGGGACCGAGGGCTGACAAATGTCGCCTAGTGGGGTGGCAGCGTTGGCAGTGGGGAGATGGAGGAAAGACAACTCAAGCCCATGGAGTGAGAGGCCTAGAGGGGCTCACACCTCAGGGACTGCAGCCCCATGCCAAGGGCAGCCTCAGATTTATTGGGGGGCAGGTTCAGGGAAGGTGGGCAAATATGTGGACTGGGGGGTGCAGGATAGTCTGTATATGGTAGGATGTGTATGGGGATGCGAGGTAGGGGAAGTGGCTAGGGGGCTCCATTGTTCTTGCTGATCAAAACGTCTTCTCTCTAGTTCCTGTTCTCTCCTAACTTCCTGTCAGTGGCCTAGCTGGTAATGCCAATCTGGTCGTAACGTCTGCCTGCTGCTTCAGCAGTTACTGGTTCCCAGCATGGTCCTCCTACCAAGACTTTTGTCCTGGTGTGATGCCATGTTGGTAGCAGATCAGCAGGAACTCTGGGTGCCAAGACAATGTCCCTGAGAACTGGGGGGGCTGGGGATCCACAGACACGAGTTCGTCGGAGTTGGATGTGGACTTTCTGAACTCCAGGTGAGCGAAGGAATTAGAACGGGCAAAATAAGTCTGCTTCTGCTCGGGATAGTCTGGGGAGGTTAACGAGTCCCGCCTCCCCCCCCCCCCCCCCCCCCCCCACTTTTGATCCCATTGTAGGCTCTGGAATCCTGCAAAATGTCTCTGGTATATGGTTGTTCATTATTTTCAGTGAACTTCCTCAGTCTGCCTGTTCTGCTCCCCACTCTGTCTCTGGTGAATCCTCTCACTGCCCCTGCAACTCTGGCCTGTACCCCAGTTCTGTCTTTATAAATAAATAAAATCTGTTTTAAAAAAATCACCACATTTAAAACAAACAAGCAAGCAAAGCCAATGTTGAGCTCACGAAAACCCTTCCAAGGAGCCCAGACGTCGCCCTCAGCAGAGGAGCCACCGTGGCTTCCAGCTCGTCCTGGAGTCAAATGATGTGGGTGAAACTCTTCCTCTACCACTTGACCACTCCCCACTTATGTGTTTACTGAAATTATATTTATTGAGGTCTCAC